AACCTGTTCACAAAAAGGCAGTCCAAAACATATATGAAGCAGCGACGGTCTAATCATAAATCCTATCATCTGTTCATGACACCATTGTCAATTATGGCCCAACAAACCCGAAATCTAGCAATTGGATATATCAAGAGGTAAAAGACAATCCACCTCAATTGCATGTAATGTAAACTATGCATACCTCGTCGAGAACATCCCCATCCTCAAGTCTCTCCTCTTCTTCAATTTGCATGATTCTAAAAGCTTCCACCAAAGTTGAATAATCTCTGTGTGCATGACGACCATAATCCCCAGCAGGAGGATGGACGCCCCTGCAACACACACAAGTATTTTTGGTTGTGAGACTTCTGAAAACTTCAAACTGGTGGGATAATCAAAACAACATTGGAGTTTTGTTTTATACAGGGTTTAAATTCAACAAAAGCAAACACATAAAGGCCATTTCTCTATCTAATGCAGTCACATGACGCAAATCAAAATGGTTAAGACCCACAAATGAAATTTAGCAGTCCTCATAAGCACAGTTTTCAATACCTTGTCTCTGCAGCTCTTTTTTCAACCGACAGGGCGACTTGCCAGTCCTCAAAGAGATTGGGATAATCTTCAGGATCAGCCAGAGATTCAGCAGCCTTTGGACTTATCTATATGTAATTGCAGATTAACAGTGGATCAAGAAAAGCTGTGGATATCTCAACAACAAGGTTTGAAATTTAATCAGAAGATGCATAGGAAACGTCTAAAACAAACCTTGGTCAAATCGTTTCGCCACAATGCCACTATTTCAGAGACCTTGCTTGGAAGGTACGATCGTGCCATCAGTGCGGCTTCAGGTATCCGATTACTGTAACCAGACAACTATCAGCATAGGCTTAACTAGTTGCAGAAATATATGTTCCCAATGTAAGAAACAGTGACAATGTACCTTTCCACCAACAGATTCAGGCAGTCTTCTACTTGACCCAACATGAACAAGCAAAGAAAAGTAACATTATTCTTTCCTTGCTCTTTAGCTAATGCTGCCAGCTTTGTCAATCCTTCTGCATCTCCCAAGGAGGAATAGAGCAGCAACAGACCACTCAAATCCTTAGCATGCCTCATGCATTCCTCAGCCATATCCAGCTAAGGTGATCCAAGCATGTGAATGAAAATAGATGCTTATTAGCCTTACCGTTTGTAAAAAACCTAGAACACTAGTTGCAGTTAAAAACTAATCACCTTCCCAGTGGACATAGCTAATTCTCCAAGTTGCTTCCATTTAGACTCACTTTGAGCTTCTACAGCAATGTCCTGTCAAAATATAAGAATTAAATGACAACCTATTGGTAAGACATGAAAATAAAGCTTCTCAGATGGTAAAACCGACAGACTAACCTTTGCGACCTCCAATCTACCGAGCTGTATGGCCAACTCAAATCTGTAATCAGGGTCAGTAGCTACTTCCAGAGCATCTTCTATCATTCCACGTGATTCCAGAAAGTGTGCCACGCTGACAGCAGGAGCAGGTTTTGAAATTGGAGTCAGAAAATTAATGATGCGTAAAATAATTTAAACCATGATGTGACCTTGGATGCATGTTCGCTAAACATTATAATCCAACTCTAACCGTAATGCATAAACTATGATAATACGATGAAAACACACACTCATACCTATTGTGATGCTCCTTAGGAATTGAAGGTAAGACTTGATTAGCCTGTTCCAAATCTCCACGCATCACAAGAGTCTTGTACTCAATCAAACTTAAAAGTAAAGTGTAACCGATAATGCTGTAAACAATAAAATTTACATAGAATTTAGAAAGTTAACAACAACACTGGCCAGCTTTATTAACAGTAAAACATCTGCTTACTTGAACTCTTTGTCAATTAGATAAACCCGACTTTGATTAGCTAGATAACCCAACAAGTACATAGGACGGTCCAGATGATACATCGTCGTTACCTGTAATTTATGAGGAATATTGAACATCGTTCACGACAAAATCAAAACACAGTTTTTATCCAAAAACCTAGAAATGAGCCTCACCTCACCACCAACACAGTAGTTAAGCCTCCAAGAAGAGTTGGTATAGATGAAACAATCTCCAACCCATAAGCCAGTCCGAACACGGTCATTGGTTTCATTGAGAAGCTCAAACGCGTCCTCAATGCCTTCCTCATCAATTTGTTTACCGCCATCCAAATAAGAAGAAATAATGTTGCGCTACAGCAGAACAGTAAAAACAACTTAAAACCATGTAACAGACAGCAGCAGTTCAAAGAAAATAAACTAAGGAAACTCTATTAGAGTTCTGGTTCACTACCAAACTTTTTAAAGAAACCTCACATTGAGCTTAAGGATGTAGAATGATGAATCACTGGCAATTGCAACTAGATCACCACTATCAGCCCAATAAAGATTCTGAGACATCAATAAACAAAAACGTTAGACATGAATAAAAAGATTGTGGTGCAGAAAAGAGCAGTATCAATCTGCATTGGCGTTTAAAGTTCAGAGAGGACACTGTCTTGTATCTCTCCAATAAAATATTTCAGAAATCGTAACCTATGAACCATTCTCTTGTAGAAACTAATAGAGCTACTTCTGGTATATAAGCACTTACCTTGACAGTAACATCTATTCGCCTAATCAACCTACATTCCGCCCAATCATAGAAGCAGATAAAATCACTTGAGCACATTGCCAGTAACGTCCCACCAAAAATGTGCTCTGCTGAGAAAGTAGGCCTCACAGTCTTCTTTTCCTGCATATTGTTAAACGAGGCTGTCAGTATATGCTAGTGTGATTTGAAAGAAATTAATCAGACACCAAAAACTAAAGCTTTAAAAGTTAATCAGTGGGAAAAGGAATGTGCCAAAAGGAATTACAAACCTGGAAATTCTTGCTGAAGATCTTGATCTTTGTCGAGCTTTCCCTGACAGCATGTTCCCCCTCAGATGACCAAACAAATTCCAGCGCTGAGCCAAATGACCTATTTCTCCATGCCAAGGCAGTGTAGATGATGTACTCACCATCTCCACAAACAACCACAAACCTACCATTAGGGTTGTGCTTCAAGCTCTGAAAAGCAAAAATTTAAACAACAGAAACATAAATGACAGTGAGTAATCACAAAAATTATAGATGATTAAGGTTGTATTTCCAACTAATACTACTAATCTATCAAACTTTCCCAAAAAACAAATAAAGGAAGAAAAAGGTTAGCACACGTATTCATTAAATCTCGAATAAAATGTAAGAAAATGACAGTGCACAG